TTCCAAATAGCGTGCGCATTTCGGAACTTACAACGGGCAAGTTGCGCTAGTGACAGAATCGTGTTTTAATGATTGATCCTTGTAGATCAGCTAAAATTAAGAAGATCTGTCCAATCAGCATCTTTCTACGTTGAATATTAACCGAGATATCTTCCTTTGAAAAGTCGAATTTTTTAAGTCTTCCACCGCGGTAGTGCATAACCATAGAGGACTCTATGTGCACTCTATGTGCATAACATGGTATGTACTAACGCAGTGGATGACGTCATAAATCGGGTTTTTTTAATGGCGCGATTTTTAGTTAATATGCAACAAATGCCGCAATCAGACGCTGAATTTAGCAGCTGAATGTGGAAGTCAACAGTCATCGCCCAACGGCTGAAATTTAGCAAATTCAAGTTATTTTCATCCAGATGTCTATTCAATCTACTCGAATTGTTCAGACAAATTCAAAATTGGTCCGATGGTTGCTGAGAATCGTTGTTGAATTTTGCGCGTCACGCGCAAAATTCAGGCATCGGGCCGATGACTTCCACATTCAAATCACATTCAGCTCCCACATTCAGCGTGTGATTGTGGTAGTAGAACGTTGCTGTTCGGACAGATCTTATTATTTTTAGTTGATCTGCAAGGATAAACCATAAAACACGAATTTATGACCAGCGCAACTGACCCATTCTGCCGTGCTAAGGAAGAACGCCGTATGAACCTTCAGACGTTGCCAAATTGTGTTTGAAAAACACGAATTCCCCGGTAAATAACTTGTGAATATTTTTCTTCCAATTATTCAGAGAATTCGGTTCGTAGTTTGATCTAAAGTTCCTAAAAATTTCAAGGAAATCGTATAACTTTCCTCAAAAATGAACATTTTATCGAAGGAAATTTGGCAACTCTCGAATGTTCATGAAAAACACGAATTCCTTGCACTGGAAATAAAACACATTGGATCTAGAGTCCAGACTCTTAAAAACATCGACAAGAAAAAATACTCTTGATTCAATCGGATTTTTGCCTAAATCAAGAACCAAGCCTCTTCATTTGAGCGGATTCCCTTTTGATTTAAGCAATAATCTGATTGAATCAAGAGTATTTTTTCTTGTTAATGTTTTCAAGAGTCTGGACTCTAGATCCAATGTGTTTTTTTTCCAGTGTGGTAAATAACTTATGAATATGTTTCTTCCAATTTTTCAGAGAATTTTGTTCCCAATTTCACCTAAAGATTCTGAAAATTTGAAGTAAAAATATTCATAACTCTCCTCAAAAATAGACATTTTGTCGAAGGAGTGGCAACTCTCGAATGTTCATATGACGTATTTCCTCAGCACGGCAGCATTAGCGCGAATCGCGAGTCAAGCAAGAGCCGAGACCTTTACTGGAGATCGGGTAGAGATCAAGGGATGTTTGAAGTATCCCATCAGTTTTGCAGGCACTTCCGGTGATCGTTTTTGCCGCAAAGTCCAAAGTTTCCTAGAATTTTTTCCAGGTAGATGAGGTCCCTTTTCACAGATCCGGTCACAATCATGAAGCAACAAATCTGTCTAGCATATTAACAACAATGAAAAAAAAAAGTTTGGTCTCTTTTCCGCTGACTTAGACTTTTAAGACGGAGTAGAAAAATCGGATGGGGCTATACGCGGGACGCAAGTACTCCGTTTCGATTTCCAAGTAGGTGAAATTGCGTATCCACGCAATGAAGGAGAATTTTTTTTCCGCTAACTTTTAGGCTGTGTCCGCACCGAATATCGCCACAAAAATATCGAGGCAAATATTTTGGATGGGGCGAAACGCTTGCTTAACACGACTGTCTCGACTTTCAAAGCGATAAAATTGCAAATCGACAAAATGAAGAAGAACTCTTTTCGACTGACTTACAATGGAGATGTTGCATGTGTGAGGAATTTGCGATTTGATTGTTGATTTTTCTGTAAAAGTTCGCGAGAAACACGATGGTGCCACTGGTTTTCTCTGAAATCAACTCCCAAGCTCAAAAAAAGCTCTCCAAAATGGAGGGATATCCCACGCTATCCTAAGAGTCCACCTCAGTATCAAGACTTAAACTCTCCATTCAAAGATAGGGAGCAAATACATTGACAGGGCTGTCACCTTATTTGGAGACTCTAAAACTGATATCACGGCAACCCTGTCAATGTATTTGCTCCCCATCTTTGTATGGAGAGTTTGTCTTGATGCAGAGGTGGACTTTCAGGGTAGCGTGGGATATCCCCTCCATTTTGGCCTCAACTTGAGAGCTTTTTTTGAGCTTGAGAGTTGATTTCAGGGAAAACCAATGGCACCATCGTGTTTTTCGCGAACTTTTACACAAGAATCAACAGTCAAAGCGCAAATGCCTCACACATGCAACATCTCCATGAGAGACATTAACGCAGGAGCAGAAAAGTTTGATAGGGCAAAACGTGTGATACAACTATTTCGACTTCAAAAATGATAAAATTCCATATCGACAAAAAGAACTCTTCTCGGCCGACTTACAATCAGAGACATTTACGCAGGAGTAGAAAAGTTGGATAGGGCAGAACGCATGATATAAATATTTCGGCTTTCAAGATGATTAAATTGCATGTCGACAAAATTAAGGAGAATTTGTTCTCGGCTGACGCCAAGATTTTAACGCAGGAGTAGAAAAGTTGGATGGGTCAAGAGCCGAGCCAAGAGCCAGACTCCGCCGCGCCGCACAGTGGATCGAGTCACTTAGAGAGGTCGGACATGAAATTTTTGACCAAAACTGCAATTTTTGGTGTTAATTTCGGCACATTATACATTTCAAGGGGCACTTTCAGAAGCCAATGGAGCCACTTTTAAGACCTGAAAGTTTTGTATAAACGGAGTTATGAGCGGTAAAGTTTCCAAATTTTGTCCGACCACTCCTATTGACTCGATCCACTGTGCGCCGTGCGTAGGCGAGATGACGCGATGCGTGTAGTATACCTACAGTTCTGCAGACTCTCTCCGCGATCGTTTCTCGCGCAAATTTCAAAGTTTCAGAGGCAGAATTACGTACCGACCATACATAGAAACTTTTATGTTTATTTTCCGCGATGCTTTTTAAACTTCAGGGACTTATCAGCCCTTCTAAAGGCAGAGCTTACAGTCTCCATGAGGAACAGGCTTTTAGAGGAAATTATCTTTTAATTTTGGCCTGATCTCACGGCGGCGTCTTATACCCCGGCCCCATTTTCATTGTTTATCCCTATTTTTCACACGTTCATATTTTCAATTTTTCTTAGGTATGACTAATGCATGTGAGAGACATACAGGGTGCGGCAAAAGTCCCGGGACGGCTGTTTATTTGTTAAACGGCTACACGTAGAAAAACGAATTTTGGGGGATGTTCTTGGGTCAAAGTAAGCTACTTTTTGGCACTCCCCAAAATTTTTTTTGGGGCCCCCCTAGGGGAGGGCGGGGGGCAACTTTTTTTTTTCAAATGGCAACCCCCCCCCTCTGTGATACCTCATTCGAAAGATAATAAAAAAAGAACATTTTTGGCGCAAACCGCAGGTCAAAATGTTCATTTTTGACAAAATGGCGGCCGGTCAAAGTTCAAAATGGCGGAAATGACTAAAGGCGGTTTTTGGCTCGTTAAAAAGGAATCTTTCATTAGATTCTTGAAATATCAAATAATTTCATGCAAATCCATCGGTAAAGAGCCGTAAAACTGATTTCCCGCAATTTTTCCGCCGCCATTTTGGAATTTGTCAAAATTTCAGATATCCAATGAAAGATTCGTTCTTCTCGTGCCGAAATACCCCCAGATACCAAGTTTCATGCAAATCCAACGATATGCAACCTAAATATCCACTTCCCGCTCGAGGCCGCCATTTTGACCGCCGCCATTTTGAAAAGGACTGACTTTTCTGGAAAACCAATGCCAGAATCGTTTTTCTCATCTCGAAAAACCCTAGGATTCCGAGTTTCACACCAATCCGTCAATAAACAACGGAGATGCCAAATTTCCGCCATTTTGAACTTTGACCGGCCGCCATTTTGTCAAAAATGAACATTTTGACCTGCGGTTTGCGCCAAAAATGTTCTTTTTTTATTATCTTTCGAATGAGGTATCACAGAGGGGGGGGGGGTTGCCATTTGAAAAAAAAAAGTTGCCCCCCGCCCTCCCCTAGGGGGGCCCCAAAAAAAATTTTGGGGAGTGCCAAAAAGTAGCTTACTTTGACCCAAGAACATCCCCCAAAATTCGTTTTTCTACGTGTAGCCGTTTAAAAAATATGCAGCCGTCCCGGGACTTTTGCCGCACCCTGTATAAAGTTCCGCGTGGAGTAAGAATTCTAATTAAAATGGCGCCCGGTAAAAGCCTTTTTCCTCCTACAGGCTGTGATCAGTCTTATAACAGGTCCATTATTCATACCTCGTAAATGTCCGTGCATTTCCTCGAGATGGGAAAGGAGAGCTAACATGTTTGTTCAAGATTTTTTTCTAAGTATGTAAAACTAATCCAGAGGCATATTTCAAAGCCCAGGAATGTTTTTTTTTTTTTTTTTTTTTTTTTTTTTTTTTTNTTTTTTTTTAAATTAACAAGTTAAGACCCACAATTTGTGCACAGATGAGCAATCATTGTGGTCAGTGTAAAATTCCATTTGTTTGAGTCTTAGCAAGTAAAGGCAGCACAGGTTTCAATCAATTGCGATTACATAGCAAAATTACTGCTATTAAATCGGAGTGTTGAATATGTTGTCCATTCTTTGTTTGAAGGGACTTCTCTTAGTCGCGATAAGTTGCACTTTTTTGTACTTCGAATTGCCTAACGGCCTCACTCATAAAACTATTAGATCGTTTATGATGGGACTTTATGAACCAAAAAATTTAAAAATAACACAATTTAAATGATAAAAAATTGTAATTTTTTCCATTGACTTGCACCATTCTTTCAAATTTCCGTTGCTCTATGCTCCATGGGAACGATAATATTATATTTATGGCATTTTTATTTTGGATTTATCTAATAAAGCATTCATTTCTTTCTTTTACAGTCAATATTTTTTTGGTCTCCAACCTTCGTCAAGGCGGTGCGCAAAGACGGAAAATGTTCACTCTGCACCAGAACCGTTCCTGAATTTACAGATCATCACTTCATCACGGTAAAATCTCTCCAACTCCCTCCAACTCTCAGAATGAATGGCGAACGAACCTACTATTTGTCTTTTCTCTCAATTTTTCGAAGTGAGCTTTTGTAGTATACCTTCAGGAGCACTGTGCCGGGTTATTTACAATGTTCATTGTTATGCACTGAAACACTCATTTTCTGACTGTTGCGTGGTTTTTATCGTCTCCTGAAAAAATGTCATTTTTCCGAGATGGGTCGTTTTCGAATCAAATTCTTTCTGATATTCTGTCTTAGTAGACCCGGAAAATTGGAGAACGGAATGTCTTGAAAGTAATAAATTCCCAGATTTTGCAAAAGCGCATACTTTTTGAATTTAACGGCAGCATTTAGTTTTAGTTTCTATCAAATGAAATGAATCGTGAGAGTAATATGGGCCACATTTTGGAGTTAGACTAATTGAGCTTGAAGGCTTCCATTTATGAACGTATCTCAATCAAAACGAACTGTCTTCATCGTAACCTGGGCTCTGACACTCACAGTCACACGAATTAAAGCATAGCGGGGCTCTTGTCACAATGGAAATATTTTCTTTTGATTCAAATATGTCCACCTATGAACGAGTCCGAGGAAATTTATAAAGACCTTCCTCAAAGTAACGTTAACCAATTCCCCGCAATGGCGGCGAAAGGGAGGGAAAAATTCAAATGTATTCAGCATCATACACCAAACAGGGTTACACAAATTGCATTGATGAAAAACTGGGCAGGTTGCTCCAAATTGCAAGGTATTTTTGGAACTTGCAAAAATCAAAATTAAGGCCTCAATTATTAAGTGAATGCAAACTTGAAAAAGAGGGATGAAAAGCAAGAAACAGGTGAATCTCAAAAACTGATTAAATTGACCTCTTTTAAGTAAGGGGCTTGGAGGACACTTGCAAAAAGTGCTGTTTTTACTAGTTCAAGAAATACGTGTTTCATTGTTCAAAATTACATGGAGCCTTGTAGCGAATAGAAAGTTGAAACTCATTTTTTGATGCTGAAAAATTAGATTTTAGCAGTGAATTTTTCACAGGGTATATTGTGGAGACTAGTTTTAGTTGAAATCATTAATATTTTAATTTTTTCATGAATTGCACATTTCCCACTTATCTGCCACACCCGTTACAAAAATTCGTTTGATGGACTAGGGTTTACTATTTGAATATTGCGCTATTTAAAAGATCGACACGGGATTATTTTTTTCTGTCATAAAAAGCTTGATTTACTTTGAACGTTACATTTGATAACCGTCTAAATGCCGCGAACTTTTGGCTCCTGCATGGATTGCCCATTTCTTTACAACGCAGAGTGCTAGTCATGCATTTGCTAACATTTACCAGCTGGTTGAAAACCAATTTCAGAAGTTAATTACTATGGCTACTGGATTTCCTGGTGATCTTAATACTACATTATGCAATAAGGAACTACTATTTCTGGCTCATTCGTGAAAGCGCCTATATGTATAGGGCAAGTCAAAGTGATCTTCCACTTGAAGAGGAGAAGAAGAGGAAAAAGAATAATGAGAGAAGGAGGAAAAAGAATAATAAGAGAGGTAAGAAAAAGAGATAAAAGAAGAGAGAGAAAAGAGAGAAGAATAGGAAGAAATGAAAGAGAAAGAAAACATGGAGGAAAGAGAAGAGGAAGAAGAACAGAGAGAAGCGAGACAAAACAGAAGAAAGAAGATAGTAATAAGGAGACGGGAGAGAGTGAAGTAAAAGACTATGAAGAAAGGGTGGGGGGGGGTCGAGAGAGGGGAGAAAGGGATAGAAAATAGGAGGAAGAGAAGAAGAGAAAGAGAAGAAATAAAAGTGGAAAGATAAAAAGAAGAGGAGGAAGAAGAATAAGAGAATAAAGAAGAGAGGAAAGAGGATGAGAAATGAGAGATGAGAAAAGAGAGATGAGGAAAGAGAGGTGAGGAAAGAGAGATTGAAGAATAATTCGAGGAAGAGGGAGAAAAAGAAGAAAAAGGTCCAAGAGAGGAAGAAGGGAAAGTAAAATCAGGAAGAGAAGAAGGGAAAAAACGGAAAGTGAAAGAGGGAGATGAACAAGAGTAAAAAAAAGAGGTTCAAAATGTTCAGATTTAAGAGAATTGAACGGAAGCAGGGAGAAACGAGGAAGAACAAAAAAAACAAGAAGAGGCACGCCTTTCTGCGTGGGAACGCAACACTAGTGACACATGTGCGCCGTTTTAAAAATGAGCCTATAACATTAATTCCTCATTGCAAAATATAATTTTACATATAATTAGGAATAAAGTAATGTTATTAAAAAGATTTCAGTTTTTTAATTCCTGAGCGGCAGGGATATATCTATCAAACGACGACGGTGAACCTACTAGACCGCGTATCTCGTTTCGATCGTACGAAGTCATCTAAATGGAGGGGGGGTATTGGTGAAAGAGGGATTATTAAAGTTTTCGTGAGTGTTCTACGTTTTGAAAATAAAGAAAATTTAAAATGAAATTTGTCACATTATTATCTTCATTCTACATTCTATCGACAATCTCCACTTCGTCCCGCTTTTTTAAATTAGTGATGATAGTTTCAGCCTTGTTACATAATTTCCATAGCAATATATTATTTTTCATTTAAACAATTTTCGTTCTGGGGCTGCAATGCTCCTTTCTCGAACTTAAATTTAGAAATTTTGCAGCGCTTGGACGTAGCCTCTTGCGTCAAAAAACTTCATCAATTAAGTGAGATTTATTCTGCTAGAGAAGAGGAGGATGGAAAATAGATAGAACAAAAGAGAAGAAAAGAGGTAGAAAAAAAGAGAAGAAAAGAGGTAGAAAAAAAGAGAAGAAAAGAGGTAGAAAAAAAGAGAAGAAAAGAGAAGAAAAAGAGGTAATAAGAGATGAGAGATAGGGGGAGAGATGAAAAGAGAGATGATAAAAGAGATGAAAAGAGAGATGATAAAAGAGATGAAAAGAGAGATGATAAAAGAGATGAAAAGAGAGATGAAAAGAGAGATGATAAAAGAGATGAAAAGAGAGATGAAAAGAGAGAAGAAAAGAGAGAAGAAAAGAGAGAAAAAAAGAGAGAAGAAAAGAGAGAAGAAGAGCAGGAAGAATAGAGAAAGAGGAGCAGGAAGTAACGAGAGAAAAAGAGAAAAGAAAGAAGAACAGGATGGAGAGAAAGAAGAAAAGAACAAAAATTCAATTAACTTTCGTACTTTACTTTTCAGTCCCTCCCCCTCCCAAATAAAGTGGTCTTAGGGATTTTAAATATTCTAGCGCCCAGTATTATTAGAACGGGGGGCGTACGCTACCGCAGCTTTTGGTTTGGGGTCGCAGTAGTGCTTCCACTTCCGTTGGACGGTCGGCAGCCATGGCATCCGTTGAAGGCCGACACCAATGACCCAGGACCCGGGTGCACGGGAAGGCCTGAGGGCGGTAGAGAAAACCCCTTCGATAGACAAAACGTGTCTGAGTTGGCAGGGGTCCATGATGGCGGGACGAATAATTAAAATCTCTTCCTCATCTCTGTTTATTTTCTTTTAGTTTTTGTTAGGGAGTGGATGGGTATAGGTCTAATGGGTAGGTATGGGACTACTATCTTAACTTTTCTTGATATTTCAAACGCACAATGCTCACGAAAATTCTATTCCTTCCTCTTTCACCAATAACTCCCATCCATTCATTTGACTTCATATGATTATCTTCATATAGTTTCTCTTCTTTTTAATTAGTAATGATAGTTGCACAATTAGTAGTTATTTTTCCTATAGCAATAAATTAGAGCTCCTGAGCCCGGAGATTTTATAGAAACAATTTTTTGAATCAAAGGAAAATATACAGCAAGTTCAGCTGTACAATTTAGAGTTGCAATGCACGTCCAGTGCTCTTATTTACCTATGTCCTAGCCTGACTGCTCATCGGAGCAAGGTACGCTTTTTAGCGTCTCATAAGCAATATCAACTCAATTATGAATACTTGTGGGTAAGACATGATAGGGGATATACGGATGAGAAAGGACGGACTCCATTATCTAAAGTTATTTTCATTCGAAATTAATTTGATTAGCAATCATTACAACATGCAGCCCCTGATAATGTCACGTCGAATCCTACAGCAGATGGCGGTACCGTTTTTGCCAAAGTTAATGAGTCATCTTTGAACTAGAGCATTTGATTAAATTCAATCGGTGACTGTGCTTTATTTGAACTAGTATCTGAAGTTTATAAACATATCCATACCTCCCTTTTACTCCCTTGTACACATACTTTTTTACTTTACCATATACAATTTTATTAAATTTCCAAATGCCAACATTTTTCTTTGCCAATTTAAATGGATGAGGTAATAAAAAGGGACTTTCCAAATTTAATATGTATGCAGATTTATAACTAATTGAAAAATTATTTAATGTAGCTCATATAAATTTTGAATCATATGCATCTTGTTGGTATGAATCCGAACTAAAGTGGAAGTGATTACTTGGATGTAAATGCCCTCACTAAGGCACGAATAAAGAGATGGAAAGGAGACGAAAAGGAGACGAAAAGGAGACGAAAAGGAGACGAACAGGAGATGAGATGAAAAAGAGATGAAAAGGAGATGATAAGGAGATGAAAAGGTGATGATAATGAGATGGAAAGGTATAGACATAGGGGAGATAGGTGGAGATAGGTATGGAGATAGGTATAGAGATAGGTAAAGGGATAGATGATATAGAGATGAAAAGGAGATGAAAAAGAGATGAAAAGGAGATAAAAAGGAGATAAAAAGGAGATAAAAAGGAGATAAAAAGGAGATAAAAAGGAGATAAAAAGGAGATAAAAAGGAGGTAAAAAGGAGGTAAGAAGGAGATAAGAAGGAGATAAGAAGGAGATAAGAAGGAGATAAGAAGGAGATAAAAAGGAGATAAAAAGGAGATAAAAAGGAGATAAAAAGGAGATAAAAAGGAGATAAAAAGGAGATAAAAAGGAGATAAAAAGGAGATAAAAAGGAGATAAAAAGGAGATAATAAGGAGATAATAATAAGGGGATGAAATGAAAATGAGATGATAATGAGATAGAAAGGTGATGATAATGAGATGAAAAGGTGATGATATAGAGATGGAAAGGTGATGAGATGAAAAAGAGATAAAAAGGAGATGAGATGAAAATGAGATGAAAAGGGTATGAAAAGGGGATGAAAAGGGGATGAAAAGGGGATGAAAAGGGGATGAGATGAAAATGAGATAAAAATGAGATTAAAATGAGATTAAAATGAGATGATAATGAGATGATAATGAGATGATAATGAGATGAAAATGAGATGAATTGATAATGAGATGAAATGAAAATGAGATGAAATGAAAATGAGATGAAATGAAAATGAGATGAAATGAAAATGAGATGAAATGAAAATGAGATGAAATGAAAATGAGATGAAATGAAAAGGAGATGAAATGATAATGAGATGAAATGATAATGAGACGAGATGAAATGAAAATGAGACGAGATGAAATGAAAATGAGATGAAAATGAGAGAGCGGAGGGTCTGGTGCCGGAGCCTCCTCGTGGTGGACCTGGGACGGGTCTCCGACCCGTGCCAAACGCCGGCAAACCTGTTGTGATTCTGCACCCTCCCTCGCCTCAGGTTGTTAGCCCATATCTCTTCACACATCGTAACGAGCAATTTAGGATCAAGCGCATCCTTGGTACGTTATTACCTTGGTTGTTTGCCCATATCCCTAATACGCTCGGGCATGGATCAACCGCTTCCTTGGTGCCCTGCTTCGCGCGCAGCAAGGCTGTTTACACCTTGGATGTTAGGTCATATCCATTGCAGCCTTGGATCAAGCGGAACCCTGGTACGTTATTACCTTGGTTGTTAGCCCATATCCCTGGCTTACGGAAGAGATCAAGCGGAACCTGAGGAACATGAGGGGAACGATGATCTTCAGAGGACCACTGATAGTAGTTAGGCCATATCCTTGAACCGCGAGGTACAAGGATCAACCGGTACACAGTGGTCTGAAATCCCGATCTGTGACCGACTTTGCGCGATTCGTCAGTGACCAAATGCAGGGGTGACCAATCGAAGCCTGGCAATCCTGTTCTGCGGTCAACCTCCGGTATCTGCCGATGCTTGCGCATTAAGTCTAAAGCCGTCATCCCCCCCGGGACACTTTAGACCAGGCAAAGTCAGAACCGGAGGGTCGGACGCCTCTCAAACGGGCTGGTGGTTGGGGCGATGTTGCAGATTGAAGTAGGTTTTGATGCAGGACGAGCCGAATACTTCACGAGAGTCCCGGGGTCTCGTGGCTCAGGGTATTCTGTTCTCCTGGGCCGAACAAGCCGGACAAAGTTTCAGCAATCTCTATCTCTGTAGAGAGTATCCAGCTACGAGTTTGTTGTCCTGCTGCGGGATCGCACGGTGGTAGAGGAGTTCCCTGCATTCGGTCATTGGCGAATTGTTCACTGTTGTGAGTGAGGGTGCGCCCAGAACTTGTCGTTGCGAACCAGGGCGTTGCCGTCTGATGTCGGTTCCT